TCAGCCAGCTCATGACTTCCTCAGCCCTGGCATTTGGCAATTTCATTCGGTCAACACCCATGCCCTCAATGTTGTCCAAAAACCTCCGTTCAGGATACAGTTTACGCCATATATCCAACATCTGGTTGTAGCTCCACGGTTCTGCAAAAGCAAAGAGACGTTCATTTTCAACATCGCTGTGGATCAGCGCGGAGATGTGTACGAGCGCGCAGTCAACGGGATGTACGTACCATTGCGGACCGACAGAATTTGTCCAAAAGTTGAGCTGTTCGCCTTCCCATGCAGCACGGGCCCAACCGATAGTTGAAGGAAAGCCTTGATGCTCGGGAATCACGACCGGGCCAAAATTGGCGTTTGGCAACTATCTGGGGTTAGCGATGACCTTTCTGGAGCATTAAAGTTTCTGCTCACAACGCGGTTGAATACGAAGCCGGGCTGGTTATCTTCCATCCATTTCATCATCGCCTTCTCGGTCTCAGTCTTCATGGCGGCGTAGACGAACAGCCCTGGTTTGCCAGGCTCTTTCTCCAGAATCTTCAATGCTTCATCATTGTATGTATTCTCGTCGATTGAGAATTCAACGTTTGGATGAGGAAACGTTGCGGCAAGGGATGACGAGGTGAAGACGAAGCCTTTGCATAAGGGTACCTTCGCACAAGCCTTGAGACCATTTAGACCCGCCTTCACAGTAATTGAGATCGCTTCCTTGACGTCGGAGATGCCTCCAATTGGCGATGCGACGTGGATGAAGCCTTCAATATCTACAAAACAATTCTTTTTAGTATTGGGCTTCAAGATATCACTCATGAGTCTCGTTTCGACATACCGTTGACGACATCATCATAGCATCCCTCCACCGTCATATCGGGCACCTCAACCAACTCGAATTCCGCTTCCTTATACTTATCGTCAAAGAACTCCGTCATGTATCTGTGTTTCTCGGCATCTCTCACCGCACCGCGAACATTGTATGCTCGCTTCAAGAGCTGATCGACGACGTGGCTTCCGACCAGCCCGTTGACGCCTGTCACAAATACTGTCGCACCGGGCTTGATAGCGATCGTAGGCATGGCGCCAGGTAGGGTCGATCGATGGTTCTAGCAGACGAGGCTTGCGACTTTGGCTTGTTTTTGGGAAATCTTGAACATGCCTTGGGACCTGCTCATCGATTCCGCAATTCACACAGGTGGGAGCGAGGGAAATGGGGAAGGAAGGTACGAGTCGCAAGGCTAGGAAGCGCATTATATTCACCATAATGCATGTTGGTGGCTGCTAAGTTACACGAGCTAACTGTTCCTGGAAAGGCGGGGTCGTCATGCTGGCTGCTGGATCGAACGAACACCAGCGACATACGCCGTCAAGCTTGAGATTACTCCCAGGGCTCTAGTAGATGATTGTAGCCCCAACACTACACAGCCTTGCGGTCTGCAGAGTGCAGAACGGCTTTCAAATGCATCCAAGCTGAGGAGGTTTTGCAACGTCCATGCCATATCAAGCCCGACGGAAAGACCTATCGCACATACAAAATGCTGATCAGAATTACAATAGACGTTCGGAGTCTTTCCCGAACTGTCTATCGATTGAAGAGATGAACCATGACTTTACGGAGTACGCTGTCGCCTCGAATCATCGATCGCATCGTCTTCGACACGACTGCCGTTGAGCTCCTCACAGCCTCGATACTCACATGGAGAATAGCGTTCTTTCTGGAAAGCAGACTTCGAATGTTGAACTATGACAGGTATGAGATATTCGGAAGAGATGCTAAGCGCACTCAATCTACCTCGTCAGCCCTTGTCAGCACTTGGCATCCAGTGCCGGCACCGATTAACGAGGCACGAAACGAACGCGATCGTCGATGGACAATCAGCCATTCATTCACACGGCTGGATGTGAACGGGTAGAAGAATAAGGTGATAACCATAGGAAACGGCACGTGGTCGACAAGGAGGCGAAGTCTGATGTCTCTGCGGCTGGGTTGTTATTAACACAAGGATATGAGGGAGTAGACGACGTCAACGATGAAGAAAAAGAAGATAATGGCGCACGGGTGGTGATGTTATTTCCGACGGCATAGATGCTTTCCAGGACGGGCGGCAAGGTCAGCAGAGGAAAAGAAATCGCATCTGAGGAGTACAGACGTTACAAAGATGTGTGAATCTGTCCGAATACTTCTTTGCGCATCGGCACGCTCTGAAGCCGAGGATGAAGATCGGTAGAGGATGTCTCAGATTCCCAAGGCGACACCAGAAAGATGAACAGAATGGCAGCCACGAAGCACGCGTAGTTTTTCCGTACGGCATGATGACATGAGATCATCGCTGTCTACCCGTTACGAGTGTGCACGTTTGTAAAACAAACTAGGCACTCCACGATGTCGACTTCTTCCACCGGTTGTAACCCGGCGGTACCTGGACCGCGGCTCACCCCACGACTTTGACGATCTAACTCCACGCCGCAAATACGTACGACAGCCTAATCACTGAATTACGAGGACCGAATATTTCTCCCTTGCGCCTCTCAGAACAAGCCTTCCAACACAATGATGCGTCTTTGAACAAGCATACCAAGCTTCTATTCTCCGTGAATCCTGAAGCTTGTCACACCCCTCTCATCTTGGCGAAATGAAGAAACATTACGCCGTTCCCCACAAAACCCAGCCTAGTCGTTTCACTCCAACACCACGAACGGGCTCGAAACCGCTCGCCGGGCTCGTGAGCAAGCCAAAAAGCGGGTCGACCATCTCGCTTGGACTAGCCGCCGCCCTCCGAAGGCTCCGATGACAGCACTGACAGCTCCAGATGCCGCACATGCAACCCATCTCCCGTGTTTCTTGCTCACAGCCACTCAATACCACCGAGCTTCTCGGTAATGATCGTGAAACGGTGGGAACAATGCGGAGACTAAGTGCCGCCACGCCGTCTTCTGGAATGTAGGTCTCGAACGGGTTGGAAGCGCAAGGACGTGACCCTTGGAGTACCTGCTCTTACCATGAGATGATAAAAGCGCTACCTACCACCTCCTCTATCGTTCTCCATCACATTTGTGAAGTTTCAATCCTTTACTACTTCTTCTTGTGCTAGACCACATTATCACTCCTTCATCTATTCAAATCCTTACTTCCTTCATCCAAACTTCGCTTCAATGGCTCGTTACTCCTTCGCATTTGCTGCTCTAGCAGCAAGCGGTGCCTACGCTGCGCAGAGCGCAGCCTACACACAGTGTGGTGGAAAGGGCTTCACCGGAGCCACCGCCTGTGTCTCCGGATACCACTGTGAGGTCCAGAACGACTGGTACTCTCAGTGCGTTCCTGGTGCCGGTGCCGGTGCAGCAAGCCCTGTAGCAAGCCCTGTTCCTACAACCATGATGACTGCCACCAAGGCACCCGCTGCTAAGACCTCTTCTCCAGCAGCAGTAGCTGTTGCCGCTCCCAGCAAGGCTGCCGTCGCTGCCAACGCAGCAGCCAGCTCCGGAAAGACCCAGTACGCCGGTATGAACATTGCTGGTTTCGACTTCGGATGCGACACATCCGGATCATGCAGCGGAGCCTACGTCGACCCCGGTGCGAACGGAATCGCTCAGATGCAGCATTTCACCAAGGACGACAAGCTCAACATCTACCGTCTGCCCATCGGCTGGCAGCATCTTACCGGCAACACTCTCGGTGGTAACCTCGACGCCACCGTCAGCGCAGCCTACGACAAGCTCGTCCAAGGCTGCTTGGCTACCGGCGCAGTCTGCCTTCTCGACCTCCACAACTACGCCCGCTGGAACGGCCAGATCGTCGGCCAAGGCGGCCCAACTAACGCTCAGTTTGCGGATGTCTGGACCAAGATCGCGACCAAGTACGCGTCCGAGAAGAACGTTGCCTTTGGCCTGATGAACGAGCCCCACGACCTCACCATGTCCACCTGGGCCGACTCATGCCAGGCCGCCGTCACCGCCATCCGCAAGGCCGGCGCCAAGTCGCAGATGATCCTCCTCCCAGGTACCGACTACACATCGGCCGGTACCTTCCCCACCGCCAGCGGCCCCTCCCTCCTCAAGGTCAAGGACGCCGACGGCACGACTGACAAGCTCATCTTCGACGTGCACCGCTACCTCGACAGCGACAACTCCGGTACCCACGCCGAGTGCACGAGCGACCACGTCGAGGACTCGTTCGTCCCCCTCGCTACCTGGCTCCGCGACAACAAGCGTCAAGCTATCTTGTCTGAGGTCGGTGGCGGCAACACTGCGTCGTGCGAGAAGGATGTGTGCGCTGCGCTTGATAGCTTGAACAAGAACAGCGATGTTTACCTTGGTTACATTGGTTGGTCGGCTGGTGCGTTCGATCAGAGCTACGTGCTTGGTCTGACGCCTAATGGCTCGACCGATCGCGAGTTGGTTACTAAGTGCTTCAGCCGCGCTTAGAGTGGTAGGCCTATAGGCTTAAGCCTTGGTGCAAGGTAGACTTCATCGTTGTTGATGGGTGATACTTTCGGTAGTCGTATTCTCTTCTTTTGTAGATCTTTACAATCAAACTTTTCTCGATATCTTTCGTGGTATCATCACCCTAAGCAAGCAATCAGTCTTAACAGAGTGGTTGAAGCTTCTTGATTACCTAATACATAGACTTCACATGAGCGTTCAGAGCAAGTAGAGTAGGGTACGGTGATAGTGTCTTTTCGAAGCAAGCAAGCAAGTACATTATCCTCCATCATGCAGCATGCATCGTGTGTCAACCATCATTCCCCACCATCTTCTGAGCCCAAGGCTAGCAAACAAGCAATTAAGCAAGCAAGCAAAAGTACACGTGGTACTGCCAGAGAGATACAAGTAAGACCCCGAAACCCTTCTCACTGAGTAGACACACAAAGTCTCTCGTATACCAATCCTTCCACATCCAGACCCGTATATACCTCCCCCTTCCAAAGAAACTTTTGTTTCAAAGAACGTAGCAGTACCAATGCGTGCTTCTGTATAGTCTTTCTGCATAGTGCGCGAAGTTTTCGCGTCACCTAGACACCCTCGTCGGCGTCCTTGCTGGTGTTCTTGGTAGAGCCGCCCTTGACAGATCCCTCCTTGAAAGAGTTGTCCTTGATGAAGCCCTCCTTGGCAGAGCCGTCCTTGATGGAACCTTCCTTGCCGAACTTGTCCTTAGTAGGCGTGCTCGCCGGCGACAAGTTCTCGAAATGATCAACGAGAGACTTGATACTGTCGCTAGTCTTGCGTCTCCTGGTCTCAGTGCCGCTGAACTGGCTAGGGGTACGGACGATCTCGTTGCGGACAGGTGCTAGCGCAGTCCTCTTCTCCCAGGGAATGGTCGGTTGCCAAGGGGAGGGTACCGGTGCTGCACGTGCGGATTCTGCTCCGAGGAACCTCTGGAAGTCTGACGGTCTCAAAGATCTGGTTGAGCTCATGGAGATGGTGTCAGTCTTGTCTTCGGTGACCTCGGCTTCTTCCGTCTCTTGAGTGTCTTGATCCTCTTCCTCGGACTCCTCCTCAGACTCTTCAACTTCATGGCTTTCCACAGTCACCACATCCTCAGTTACCTCCGCTTCTTGAACAGGCTCAGGCTCCTCAATCTGGTTGATGTCCGTAGTCTCAACCTGTCTTGTTGCCGCCCAATCTGTAGTTTCGATCATCGAGTCCGCTGGGTGCTCGTTGATGGCAGAAAGCGGAAGGTCATCGAGGGACCGGTGCGGAACATCCGCGTCGTTGAGAGTAGAGATCGAGGGTGAGATACGTGGAGTCGGGTGACCCTCGACGGTGGCCTGCGAACTAGTCTCGGAGAAGTCCTCGTCACTGAACTCGTCGATGAAGTCCTCGTTGCGATCCCCATCCACAGCCATCGTGCTGCGATTGCTGTCCTCACTCCCGACAAGAGTATCGCCATCGCCCTATGCACATCAGCAAACTTACCAGCCAACTTCCACCCCCTCCTCAAAACCAAAGAAAAGTTCGACGTACCTCAGGAACAAAGATCCTCCCCAACACCGTCTCCATCTTCCCCGCCAGGCCCAGCACACTCGGACAAGCAACCTTCATGACCACCTGCTTCACCTCGCCGGAACCTCCCGCATACTCAATCACGCGACGCTCCTCCTCCAAATTGAACGCTTGAAAAACAACGCCTTTGACAACTTCTTCGCCGCTCCACATACCAAAGTTTACCGCATCGAATGCGAGTGTGTTGGGTCCGTCGCCGGAGCGCACGGAACGTCGGTACCCGGCTATGCGCGCTTTGCGTAGCTTGGGCATACGCGGCAGCATGAGAGAGGTCTGTTGGAGCGGGAGGTTAGAGTTAGCGTGTAGTTTGTGTGTGGTGAGTGTGATCGAGACTTGCTTTGAGCATCTTCTCAGTGACACCATCGCAAAGGAAATACGCGACTGGATAGCCGGTCGAAGCGGTCGGCTTGGCGTCAGCTTGTGATGCCATCGCGTGAGGGTCGTGGTGGTTGCCTGAGGCTGGTTGATCCATTGCGATTGCGGTTGCGATCGCGTGAGTCTCGAGTGATTTTGAAGTAAAGGTAAAAGGTGTGTGGGTGAGAAAAGGGAAACGAGGTGAAGAAAAGCTGGAGGTGAGAGAGCGCGTGGGGAGCTCGGGCCCTTTGTGCGACGGAGAGCAGTGAGTAGTGAGAGTGAAGATATCCGTTTGTTGTTGTCAAGACGTGCGTTTGTCGCGCCGCTCTCTGTCGACTGGGGGACGCGAAGAGGCCGATCGCGCGCGTGGGAGGTCTCCTATCTCATCTTCCCTAAACATCTTCACGTCTCCGCCAACGTATCGAGTATATCTGTTTGTTGTAAAGATGTGCGTTTGTCGCGCCATGTATCGGCGGAGAGGTCGATAACGCACCTTCATAACCAATAGACCGAGATAAGAAGAGAACGATTGCGGTATGCGATAGCCATCTCATCTCACCTTCACTGAACATCCTTTCAATGCCTTGTGCTCACATCACCATGACAACACATTTCCGAAATGAAGAACAATAAAGACAGAAAACACCATTCATGATATCCTACAATGTATGCACTTCGACGATGACGGAGAAAGTAAAGAGCATTCGCGCCTCGAAACCACACCCAGTTACATCCATCCCGTCCCCAGTACAAGTTTCGCCGAGCAATGCTTATTCTACATGAAATGCGCAGCAAAGACATACACGAACGGATATTAGAGATACCCAAAGACGATTTCCGAAGAACTCCCTTGCTTTTTCTGTATCATCATGAACCAAAAGACTGAGAAAACGATACCAAGAAAACCCTAAGCGTTCGTCACCCTTCCCAGCCCGCCGTGCTCATCTCGGTTCTCCCCGTTCCACGTACGTTTATCGTTGACCCGTTGTTTTGCCAGCCAGCCCAATGAGTCGTGATCCCGCAAGCGGTTGAGAAGTCGCCAAGTGATGCGTATAGGAAAGGTATTACACTGAGAAGGAAAAGAGATGACGGCCGTATGGTTGATCCCAATAGAGATACACTAACCGTCGGACTACGCTGGGCGTATGAAGAACGGCGGAAGGTTGTTGGTGCCTTGCAGGTACACTCGTGCTGAAAACGTCGAGATCTTACCACCAGCTGCCTAAGCTAGCGGTCGTGGGCTCGACTGTGCATGCGTGAAGAGCGCATTGAGAAGTCGCTCAACCTTCAAGAGAAGACGAGTCAGTATGATTGGACAGAAGAGTAATAAGAAGATTACGTACTTCAGGAGCCGCTTTGACAAACGGCAAGTCCCAGAATGTGTATGTTGGGTTCTTAAGGATCTCCAACAACGTGATGATGAGTCCCCATGGGTGAGGACGGTGAACCAGCAGGCGCTCCAACAACACTCGGGTGATCGTCTCTTGGATCTCCAACGCCAACGAATCGTCGTTCGGGGGTCCGAAAAGGTGTAGCAGCGTGTAGCTGTAGAAGTGAGTATGCGTGTTCGGGAAGCGGAGCTGGTTTGCGATGGCGCTGATGAAGTGGAACCTGGCTTCGGGGTGGAAGTCCTTGACGAGCCTCTCGATGACCTTGGTGGCTGGGCTCTCCGCGTCAAAGATCGGTACGCTGGCTGGACCGGTACCTAGAGACGAGATACCGATGTACAAGGTGATTGCATGTATCAACGTTGGGTTTGCGGTAGTTGAAACGAGCTCAAAAGCTGGTGACTGAGCCTCTGCGTAGTAAACAGCTTGACACACTTTATCGACATCCTGGTTCTTTAGGTCCGAGCCCTTGAGGAGGTTGTCTATAGCACCCTTGATCCCCGCATCGGAGAGTACCTGCGCGATGTCGGCGCGGATGACCGGTGCTTGAAGGTCGTGCTCCAGTCGATCGGCCTTGAGCCCAGCCGTAAACGGGTCTGGCATCTCAAGGATTGTGGAAGGGTACGCACTGACGATGAGATTGCGCAGTTGCGTGCAGTGCATAGGGATGCTGTTGCAGAATCGGAAGTGATTCTCGACTAGGAACTCGGGGAAATCATGGTGGATCACCAGTAGAACCCGCAAAACACCGCGGTAGAACTGTTCAGCCATGACAGTCTCTCCAGTTGGCTTGATGAGCTTCCCGGTGAAGATCAAGAGTGTCTCCACAAGCTGAGCGTAGACGTCCCATCGCTTGTCTCCTTGGCCCTCTTCCAGCATGGCAGGCACGAAGATGCGATGAGCAACTAATGCCAGCCAAGAGAACGTAAATCGTTGGATGTGCGAGGGTTGGATGACCAATAGAGCCCTAGCGACTGCAAGGAAGACATCGGCCTTCTGGTCTGCTAAAGCCTCTTCTTTTACCGCATCGTTCAGATGGAAAAGAATGGCAGAGAACAGGCGGAAGAAGACCTTCTGGTTGAAGGCATCGCCTCGTGTGCTGTGGTGGTTGCAGAGAACGAGCACTACCACGACGAGTATCTGATCCAGGTACCTAGCCTTGCTTTCCTTGACAGCTCCGTCTTGCTCGCCCTGGTAGACGACGAGATCGACGACGAGCCGGCCAAGCGCATCGATCTTGACTGTCGCAATGTCTTCGTTACCGTTACCGTACGGCACTGAGTGTTCCTGTTCGTATGCGGTCACTGAAGAGTCAATGCAGGTACGGATGAAAGCAACTGAGGACTCTTGAGTCTCCATCACTTTCTGTTGATGGAGCTGGTAGATGAAAGCGCCGACTGTCTTCTTCGGCATGGGATCCATCTGGAGATGTACCCATTCATCGAAAACGTACTCAAGCTGATCCTTGTGCCCAGAGGGCGGCGGTGTAAGCATTGACTCGTTGGAGGATGCCTGCAGGTTGGCGATGACGCGTTTTCCAAGCTCAAAGGATGGGTCCTCTGCTAGCCAGGTAGTAAGAGCGTCGATTGACATGGCGAAGTCGGCACGGAACGCACTCGGGTGGTCGTTGAGTAGGAGTTCCTCCATCAAACTGGAGAGCATCTCTACTGCGGCGACGCGTCGTTCTTGAATGGCTTTTGCAATAGTCGTGTTAAGGCGGTGCATGTCCATCAGGCTGACCTCCATCAGAGCGATCATAACGCTTGACTTGAAAATCCTGTCATCGTCGTGCAGAGTTGCCAACCACATGAGTACCTGTCGCGAAGTCTGAACGGACAATTGACAGAGATGGCTCAGTAGATGCGCCATGACTTCAACCTCCAAACGACTCAAAGAGTCGGAGAAGAGGTGGTTCGTGACCTGGCCTGCAATGCGGAAAGCCCACGTCTCTTTGTTGGGTCCTGCATACTCAACGCTTGTGATGAGCTGATCGAAGACTTGGTGAACAGTGCTGTTACCAGGCTGAAGTTCGCTGATGCGTTCCTCTGGTGCCTCCTTGATGACGCGAGTGAGCTCAAGGAGTAGGTCCTCAACACCTCGCTGGCCGCGCTCTAGGCCTGGAGCTTCCATATAGCCATTGGGTTGTTGTTGCGCCAAGGGTGCATGGGGTGTCTGAAGACTCTGTAGGCGGGGTTGCTGTGTTGGTTGACGCGGCTCTGCCGGCGCAGCACCCGGAGTTGGGAGGTTCGGTACCGCCGCAAATTGATCTTGGAGAACGTCAGGGAGCTGGCGTCCACCGTCTTGCGAGGCGTTGTTAACGTGACTAGGACCTCGCGACTGTCTACCAAACTCCTCGTAGATGGCCAGTTGTTCGCGGTTTAGACCACCAGGCATCTGCTTGTACGGTTCAGGGATGTAGAATGCCCATGGGCTGATGTTCGCATCCTTGAAAGGCTCATTTGGACGAGAGCTGCGGAACATGCGACGGACGCGGACGGCATCCTCAATCTGCATGTCAATTTCTGCGAGAGACGACATCTCAGCAGCCTGCTCGACTGTGTTGCAGACTAGATCAAGGTTGTCGTTGACAAACATGAGGATATGCCCCTCTGGAAGAGCTTGATCGGGGAGGTCTCGGGCGGTGACGCGGATGTTGTTCTGGATACTCATGCGCAATGGCTCCTTGCAGGTAACAAGAGCCAAAGCACCGGAGAGAGCCTTGACAACAGTGTGCGCCGCGTTGCGGAGCTTCTCCTCATCTGGTTCCATGGCAAAGTCTTTGTTGATCAACTGCGATGTCGAGATGGCGGCAATGGTAACGGAGCGCTCTACTACAGGTGCGATAATCTCTTGGATAGCTTGGTTGACAGCAGTGAGGAAGATCTTCTTCAGTGCCGCTGGAGGGACCGCACTGTTTCCAGACGGTGGGTATTGGAGCTGGTTTGTGAAGTCGGGCAGAGCCGCAGTGATGGCCGCTGACGAGAAGCGCTCGTTGGGACCTCGGGTGCCACGGTTCAGGCTCATAATAGAAAGATCGCCAAACGCTTCCATTCCGTCAGTAACCATGGATCCCAGGAATTCCTCATCCGCGGGTGGTCGGCCTCGGATACTGTTTGTAGGATCAATGTTCTTGTGATCAAGTTCCAAGCCCTTGCAGAGAACTTCAATCTCGAATTTCTGGTTAAGTTTCAGATCGGCGAAGTGGTAGAGTTCCATGAGAACTCCCAGCATTTCCATAAGCCAAGGATTGGGGGGCTTGAAGATTGTAGACTTTTGGGCCTGTACAAGTACCTTGCAGGTAAAGGGAATCACAAGCAGAAGACGGTCGGTGTCGTAGCCCTCGTGCAACAGATCCTTGAATGAAATGTTACGGAATTTGATCGGCTGATCGCGGGCGATTGTCAATGAGCCAAGCCAAGAACCCAAATTCTTAAGATGGCCACGCTCCGTGGATCCCAGCGTGGAGTCGGTGTTGAGCATGCGGATGACGCTTGAGTACGTCTCACGGAG